TCTTYCTTGAAGGCAAATACAATTTTTATCTCAATTTGTTGAATCCACTTTTAAGCAATGTTGTGTATTTTTTTGCAAAAATATAAAATTAAATTGAATTAATCCAGAGCATTCCTCTAAATTTCAGTGCAACACAGGTAACAAACAACAAAACAAAATACTAATCAATTCAGGAAAACAAGTTCAGTACTGCAAAAGTAATGACGCTGGTTTCAAATTGTGACAGGGAAAAAAACCCAAACRCAAAGGAAGAAAAGACTGTTATTGATAAGCAATAGTACAATATCATAATATACAACATTACACTAAATATCACACAGGCTTCTTTACAGGTAAAGACTATATTGCACATGCTGCATGATTACTTTTATCTTTGACACTCAAAGTTGGTACTTTGCTAATAAGGACAGTAACTACAAAAATCACATTTGGATGAAAAGCAGTATTAAGGAAAACATATTTCTGGAAGACACTATAATTCATTTAAATGCTTTTAAGAAACTGCTTTCTAAGAAAACATGTCTATCAACTACTCACATGGCTGATCTAATACAAAAATGGACSTTGTTACTCAATGTAATATATCGTTGTCATAGCTAATTTTATCTCAAAACACCACTCTTTGAGTACTGTGAGGAAATAGACATTTTTGGACCATCCAGCATATTTAATAGCTGCAGTATCAGTACTGAAATTGGAGAGTTTTAACTAAAATAGTGATGCAAAAACTGGTAATTCSAGCTAAAAAGGTCTTTTAGTCAGGATGCTTCCTGGATGGCATACAGGAAAACAGAGASTTTTCCTAAAAACATGGCTTAATGCCTTTTCTCCACTAAAAGGATTATTGTCTGAACGAATTTGCACCTGGAAGTGCAGAGRAGACACAGACAGTAGCATCTCACATTATGTGTGCACCTGGGAGGACAAAAGTGAGTGAGGGCTGTGAAAATTTCCGACTCTTTAATGACAGTTAGAGTACAATGAAGGGAAAACTGTGAGGGCACACAGAGAGTCTTTCAAGAAGCATAAATGTTGTTCATTACTGGCTTGTTTAAAGCTTTTCCAACTTAGTAATAATTTCAGGACACCCTAACAAAGAATAACTCTATGGTGAAAGATGATATAGCACACTGAACATGTCATTTTTTTTTTTTTTTTTTTAGATGATACAGCACACTGAACATGTCAATTTTTTTTTTGTTTCTCCAATGCTAACTATGTAGTGAAAAATTTGTAAAACCAAACAATTAATGTTTTCTCTCATCACAATTTTTCTTTTAGTCAGTTCTGTATTATGTTTTTTAAGGGACAAAAACAAACAAACAAACAAATAGAAATGTAAACATCTCTATAGGAAAACCAATTTTGAGGAATACTTGTTATTGTATGCAAAATTAAGTTATAACTCACTGGGGTTCATATATTTAACTTCCTCAGGCTCTCTTGAAAACCTCATCTTAGCATTTGGCCTGCTTTATCTTTTTAATGTATTTCTCACATTTTATCTTTTTTTTTTATTTAAAGAAATAGTTATTTCTCTGTCTATGATAAATATATCGATAATTACAATAACTACATCTTAATACCCAATACACACCATATATTCCACCACATAGGAACTTTTCAATTGATTAMTTATTATTACTATCATCCAATACACACCAGGCTTCATATTTAAAACAAAATCTTGCAGTTAGTGAAATCCGTTAATAAATAATATTCTAGAATCTTATTTTTATTGTAATGTAATTTTGATTTATTTTTCAGACTTTATATAAGGAGAACTAAATATAACGAAACACAAAGATGACTTTGTAGGAAGAAATCCTTAAAAATGCCTCTGGGTTCCCTGCAATCATGTCTGCCCACCATTGCTTACAGATAAAAGGCAGGGTTAACAGTGCCCTGTTGGTATCAAACCTGATAATCTCTTCCTGTCCTCAAGAACTGCTCTTATCACCAAGAGCAACCCCAACAGAGAACAAGCATAAAGCACGGAAAATCTGCACAATCCCACTGCCAGTTTAAGTCTCTGATGGGGTCAGTAAGTAAAAGGATGAGCCAGTGACACCAGAGCWCTCTGTGCCTCCATTAGGCAGGTTTGACTGAGCTGGTATTTAAGGGTGTGATGRAAGCAGTTTCCTCTCCTGACTATATAAACTGTCAAATACAATAAAACATAAAGAAAAGTGCTGTAGTTACGTTGCTAACTTAACAGAAAGGCATAGAGGTATTGTTTACTTCCATCTGGAACCATAGAACAATATCAAGAATTAAGTCCTGCTTATCAATTTATATTTTAATTTTAAAATAGTTATTGGGGGTTATATAAGAGTATTATTAAAATTAATTAAAATTTCTGTTAAAATGGCTTAACTGCAAGAGTGACCCATAGCTGAATAAATTCTTCACAAAACTGGACTGGAAGAGAACAAAACCAAAATAAAGAAGAGAGAGTTTTATATGATTTTGTAAATGAATTTTTTTAAAAAATCTAAAAGCACTATTAGCAATGTTTGTATCTACAATTCATATGCTGAAGAAATGCCACTTGGAAAAGGAGAACCAAATCTATGCAAAACTGACTTCACAGAATCTCACCATTTTATCAGTTCATTACAAAAATACAAATTATTTGTTACTTTTTGAACCTGCACCTTCTGCTGAAATTCCCTAAACTGCAATTTATGAAGGGCAGTGACTGGAATGACAGAAAACCTTAGCACTGCTTTGTAAAGGAAGGAGTTGGGGAAATTGGGGGGAAGGACTCTCAGCACTTAGGACACCCCAGCACTGGATGGGGATGGGGCCAATGAGGTGCTGAAAGATCCTTTGAAGAGGCTGGAWATTTAGAAATTTATGGCAGAGACCAGGCTGATGGCAGGTGTGGCTGGGAAGAGGCACTTCCTCCTGGGGACATTATTTTAAAGCACAGGAGGATTCTTCAYCATTAAACAAGTGTTTTCTTTCCTGGGCAAGACAAATAAATTACACTTGAAGCCCACATACCAGTGCAAAGTTATTTGCAAAGGAAGGCAAAAAATTTCTCTGACTCATTAATCAAAATAAGAGACAGACCTATATTGTATCGCCCCAGAAACATTTGCTTTGCATCATAAAACTACTTGACTTAAAGGAATTGAGGAAAGTTGTATTTCTGTTATTCAAACAACAGCTGTGCTGGGAAAAAGAATACATTTGGTTTAAACCTCACTATTAGTAAAGTATTTGAAACTTRAAACAGCAGTTTTAGAAATATCATAAAAAATCTTTTTTTTTTTTTTCTATTAAAACAATATTTACAATGTGTGATTTCTCTGATGACAGAATATTTCTATATTCTTTATAAATYGTGTTTCCTCAGAGGTTTGTGTTTTCCAGCAGAATTTTTTATGCTGCTTTGAAAACTGTGTCTACCAAGGCATAAATTTGGACTTTGAGTTATTCTATTTTCTCATATGTTATATTTGATTGTTCCTGCATATATTCAAAATTAATTATGCCATACCATAATAAGACTTTGTTACYTTTAAATTCTTTCCACCTCTTCTAAAACTTTCACCGTGAAAGGTGTGTTATGTTATAAAAATGTATTGCATCAATGCAAAGATTTTAATATGCCCTCTGGTATTAATTCTCTATTGCTAATAAATTCTTAAATTTCAGTTGCCCATGTCTCATAACATGTRGTACAATGTATCACTCTCTTCTGAATAAAAAATATATTAACATATAATGCTAAAGCATAGTTTCACACAACCATAATCAAACCATGTATTTCATATTATTATGTGTAGAGTTGGCAGAATTTGAAAGAAACTTCACTGAATTTGAATTTTTATCTAGGGATTTCTTTTTACATACATATGAAAAATTATCATTGCACTCATTAAAGAAAGCAAATATGGCAAATTAAGATTTATTTCTTAGGTCTTCTGGATTGGCAAATCTCTCAATCTCTAACAACTAAAAATTATTTTGACTATTCCTCTCTTTCCTTTCAGATTTATATTCTTTGCCACAAAGCATTGCTTCCCTGACAAAAAAGAACACCCCACTGTATAGTGAAAGCACTTTCAGAACTCCTCAGGAGATCACTACTTGGTCTGAAATCACTGCTTATATTTCTGTGCCTCAGAATCCTATTCCCGCTTTTATCTTCCCAGTGGAATGAATTTTTCTGTTCAAAGACTCAGTTGAAATAAGTTCATTCAAACTCTATGGGAGATGTATAATGATTGCATCTAGAAAATTTCTAGAAAAACAATGACATAAAAAAGAAGGATTTATTTGTTTTGTTTGTTTTCATTTTTTGAAGACCTTTTCTTATGAMTTTGAAGAACAGTTTGAAGAAGCAATTACCCAGTGAGGTTTTTTGGGTTTTTTTTGTTTATATTTCAGATTTATATCCTCTGATATGATTCTCAAGTCAATCAGACTCTTCTAAGCAAAAACAATCGCCTTTTCTCCTGGATAAAATGCAAGAGCTTAGAATAAAAATAATCTCTAAAAGAGACTGTTACAAACATGATAACTCCAGGAACACTTATGATAGTGGCTAGAGACCTTTTAGGGATTAGTAAATCAGAGAAGTCAGAAACAAAAAATAATCTTTGTTGAATTTTAGAAGGTTAATCTCAAGACTGAGCTGCTGCTCAAATCAGTCCTTAACTTTATCCCGCTGAATACTTTTCRTTCCCAGCGGTCTCAGCCAGCCCAGAGAGTTGAAATTATTAAGCTTAGCCTTAAGTTAGCAGATAATACCACTGGAATATGATTTCAGAAGAAAGCCTGTCCTGCTTAAGTCACAAACAAGGCTCTTGTTAACTTCAGAAGAGACAGGATTCTTCCATAGAATAATGAACTACAGGACATGCTTTCTCCATTTATGCAAGTTTAAACATGAATTACAGTGAAAAAAATGACCTTCCATTAAGAATGTACTTTTTTTTTTTCTTTTAAAACAAATTTAAAAGAGAAAACAAAATATTAGAACTTACATTCAATATCAAGGTACATGCTCTTTTGGTGCCCACCAATTCTACTTGCAGCTTCACAGTCATATCTCCCTGAATCTGACAACTTCACATCTTTAATATGCAGTGATGATTTTCCATGCTGCCCTTTGACTTCTATGCGGCCATCTGGGCTCTGTTTACATYGATTCAGGAAAAAAGAAGGTTTTATATATTTATATATGTATGTCAATGTAGAATTTATAAATTAAACACCATTGTTAAGAATGACTGAAGCATCTCTTCACCTATGGTGAAGCTATTACTGACAGCTAAGCAACTTCTAAATTTTCCAAATACATAAACTAAAAAGTAGAAAATACGTTCTGTTTCTAGGCACTATAATTGAAGGAATAAGTACATGCTTAAAGGAACATTGTCAAAGAAAACCACARAATGTATCAAATTATGACTGCAATAGTGAACTGCATACCCAAAACTTCTTTGTGACCTCACTTGCTGTGTTGTGGTGCTGTGGTTAAGAAAAAATGCATATATACAACATTATATCTCAGATTACAAACAGTATCTCTGGTCCTCAAAACTGCAGCTGTGAAACTGAATAGAAGTAATGCCTCAGACAACAAGCAAACCCCAAATCCAGTCACATATTTATTCTCATTCTTCAAATTTTCTAGTCAGAAGATCACAACTGTAAAAAAATTTGATCCATAAATGCAACTAGAATTTTTTTATTTCAGYTCTTTTTCATTCCATGGAAAATGASAATGGAGAAAAATGAATGYTGCCTTCCAATTTTCTAGAAGATAAATTTTATAAAAATCCATGTGTGTAACAAGTCTTCTTACCCCTCCTCATCCCTCCCCACAAAATTATTTGGATTTAAAGGGTATACAAATATTAGGGAAAACTAAATAAAACAATTAAAAAAAAAAATAAAAAATAAAAGATCCTCTTCTTATAGCTTCAAACTTCTTGCAGCATTATGGCTGAGGAAAAAGAAGGTTTTTTCTTCTGCTCTTTATTTATAGTTATAGAATGCTTTGGGTTGGAAGGGACTTTAAAGCTCATCTCATTACAACCCCCTGCCTTGGCAGGGGCATACATATGAATAATTATCATTGCACTCATTAAAGAAAGCAAATATGGCAAATTAAGATTTATTTCTTAGGTCTTCTGGATTGGCAAATCTCTCCATTCCTAACATCTAAAAATTCTTTTGAGCATTCCTCATTTTCCTATCAAATTTATATTCCACTCTCCCACGTTGTCAGAGTCCCATCCAACCTGGCCTTGAACACTYCCAGAGATGGGACAGACACAGCTTCTCTGGGAAACCTTTGGGTTCCCAAATTTGGGAAATTTGTTATCTTTTGTCTTTTCATGTTTTTTAAGGGGAAAAAAACCAAAAAAAAAAAAAAAAAAAACCCAAAACAAAACAAAAAAACCCAAAAAAACACCACAAAAGGTGATTCAAACAATGATATTAACCTACCTTCATTCTAGTAAGGTGGAAAAGGGAGGAAAACCCAGTAACTATACCACTGCATGACATTAAACTCGAAGCAGATTTTTATGTTCAATTCTGTGATACACAAACTCAAATTTACTGCTTTTAACACAAAATACTCACCAAGTGGCAACTGATATTTAAGTGGCKGAGCTTTTAACTCAGTACAATTGTTTTTTATTTAATACAGGAAAAGTGCACATAATTTAGACCTTAACCTATTTGATGTAAAGTAGTCAAAAAAAGCACACTGTTTATCATGATTTCTACTGAAAGAAAAGCATACTGATCCTATGTCAGAATCCTAGAAGACTGAATTTTTTTTTTCCGTGAAAATGACTCATCATAGGTACATAAATTAAAGTTCTTGAATTCTAATGCAAGAGCCAACTTAAATCCCTTTGGATTAATTAAAATAAGCAAGTGAGACCACTTTGCTATCARTTCTAATACTGAAAATTCTATTTCCACAATATGTATTAAAAAGGAAAATTAAAGTTGTAATATTACCAGTAAACATGTTACAGTAATGAATAGCATGGCTTTTGGAAGGAATTCTTGGGATAATTAAAATGCAATTTGTTTAAAATAAAACATTAAGTAGTTTTCTAATTTCTGATATACAAACTGCTTGTTTATATATATATAAAACAAATACTTTCTATGACATAATTATTACAAGTGATGAAGTATTTTATTCCTTTTTAAAAAAAAATATTAAGCATGTAATACCATGACTAAATTACATTACTACCACCCAAAATGTGTATACACTTCAGCAATTTAATTCCTGATTATACCTGGATTGCAAATATTCCCTTACAAAATTACATTTAAAACTGTGAAACAACCTGTGACAATGAATCATAGATACAATAATTTTATCACTAATTTTATTAGTGATTCATCGGTTCAATACTAATCCCAAATACTTTAATTCACTAAGATATAGTATAATTACTGTAATTCCATATATCACTAAGCACATGTATGAGTGCTAATAGATGCTATAAAACAAAATAAGAATAAATAAAAACAACAGAGGTTCTTAAATTAAACAGCTTTTACAGTAATTTCTCAATCTCATTTTAGTTTATGTAATTATTTTCTAGTACTTATGGAAAAAATTTAATCTGTACCCAATATAACTTTCCTATATGCTCACATTCTCTTATTCAAATGCAGATGATGTAATATGTCTTAGATTTATAGATAGGACAAAAACCAAGCTCTGAATGATAGAAGATTTTTGCATGTGGTTTATTCTTATAATCAAATATATGGTAAGAAACATTGAAAGAGACATTTACTAGGTCCAAAGTCCATAAAAATAAAAAAAAAAAAAACTATTGTAAGCAATAAAATTTCACTAGAATTGTCATAAAAATATGCATTTACTAAAGACAATTTCTACTTTTTTAAAGTTCTCATGTTTAAATTGCTTAGTAAATCAAACAATATTTGTAAAATGTGTTCTACTTCACTGCTTATATTCCATATTATACTGTGGCTTTTTAATGACTAGTTTAAGAAGTCCTGTTCCCTGAGTCTACTCTGCAGATGGATTGGTGTACAAATCCAACATCTATGTTTTTATCAACATGGGGCAATACCTGATTAAAAATATAGGTTGACATTCATGAAGACAGACACACATGAAAGAAAACAAGACTGTAAATACAGACCAAGAAAATTCCATTAACAAACAAAGAAACTACTTATTAAATAAAGAAATGAAATGTTTTGATGCAGGTGTCTATCTGTGAGAGGTTTCCTAGAATATGATGGAGATTACCACATGCAAATGCAAAATGCTAGTTAGTATGGTGGAATTTCACAGGGACTTCAAAACCACTGGTGTAGCTGTATTTTATTGCTTTATGGTATAAGGAGGGTCTGGGTAAATAATTCAAGGACATGCTATGATGACACAAAAAAAAGTGCCATAACAGTGCAGTTGAGTATGGTAAAAGGCAATGAAGATACTGGAACAAAAATTGAATACACAGTATTAACCTGGAGGAAAAACTGAAGCCACATTATTCGTTTTTGTAAAGGACATTAATAAAACCAGGATATACTGACAAAGCAGAAGTCTGCATCCACATGGATCCATAACATGTTAACTTGAAAGAAAAAAATACACCATTTTAAACAGCAGCACCTTTAACCCTGGGGTYAGCACCCACCAGAACTTTGTAACCATTGGCAGAGATTTTCTGGGGTTCATTTCTCTCCTGCACTAATTATGGAGAACACACGTTAGTACCGTGTCTGGCACCACAACACACCAAAACGTGAAGAGCAAGAGATGCACTACCCCTCCCCAGTAATCCTCAGGAAAAATACCCACCAGGAAAAAAGCTTTGGAAAAAAGACAATGAGACAAAACCAAAATTCAGATAAAAAATATCTCTAATTTAAAAATGTCAGTAACTCTAAAGCCTGCCTGAAAWAATGGATACCTACTAAATTGGRATAATCTMTTTTTTTCCCCTTTCAAATTTTATAGCATGAGAGATGTAGAATCTGTATTTTATTGCAAAATATTAACRAAGAGTATAAAACGGGACAGAACAAACCCCTAGACAATAAAAATAGTCTCTTTGGTCCAATACTCATGATTTGTGTTCATTCACTGAATTACTCAGTATCTCCTACCACCATAGAGCATGAGCAATTACTGAGGTCTCAAAAATGCTGGGTTAACACAGTTCTATAAAGATATAAATATTCTTTAAAAAGAACAATTATGTTAACAGACACACTMTTAGACACTGAAAGAATGAAAAAGTCTTCAGAAGTTGTACTTTCAAAGCATTTTAGAAATCATCATAAAATCTTAAGAAATGATTGGTTTTTTTTTTTAAGTTTAATGTTAATTGGGAAATGTCATAGAATTCATCAATAAAAGTGAGCATTTTAGGCTTTGGTGGTGGGGGTTTTTCCCCATAACATCATCACCAACATAGAGTTAAAATTCAAGTGAAAAATCTTCAGCAAAAACTTTAAAAATGTTTTACTTAGGTTAAGTCACTTTGTGATTTTACCCACATAAAAAGCACATTCCCTAAATTAAGAAAGTGAAAAACTCTTTTATTTTGAATACTGACAGCAATTTATTTCTCTTCTGTTCAAAAAAACTCTTCTATACAGGTCTCCAAGTAAAACTATCGGAAATGACACCACATAAGTAGTACCTTCTGGGGACAAT